CTCCATGCAGCCGCCACCCCTGGGGACAAGCAGGGGCTGCCAGGGAGCGCGTCCCCAGCGGGGACCGGAGCAGCGGCGCCGCCGGCGGGGGCTCCGCGGGTGCCATGGGCGCTTCCCGCGCCGCGGCGCGCAGACCTGCACTGTCACTGCCCGGCGCTGGGCACGCGCCAGCGGGAGCTGCCGGAGCAGCCGGGCTCCGTGTGGGCATCGGGGACCCGGGAGACCCTCGCTGCTGTGACACCGCCCGCCCCATGTCACTGCTCCACGGAGGTGCTCAGCAAACCAACAGGGAGCAGATTCATCCCGCAGCAGGGGGTTCCAAGCAGCTTTTCCGCCTCTCCCATCCCCCTTCCTGCAGCAGCTCCGTTGCTCCATCACCCTTAAGAGGATGGGCTGGTTTCTGTGGGGCAGAAGACACTCAGAGCCCTGCTCTTCCCATTTGAGCCTCTGTTCTCCTGGGAGCCAGGCAAAATCAATAAGCAGAAATAAATTTGGCGGTTTGTACTAATTTCTTTCAGGAAATTAGTGTCTCACAGTGTTGAATATGGAAATATCTGAAGTTACAGAACTTTGGCTAGAAGGTGTTTTTCAGCTATCTTGTATTTAAAGACTGGAGAATAAAATAGTGACCCAGTTCAGGTCCATGATTTGGGGGCTGAAATACATAGTCCTACCTGAGATCTTGCAGCCAGCTGTGCTTCAAGGTAACGTTTGCTCCAGGCCTTTTCTCCAGGCAGGCACCAAGGAGGGTAACTAAAACTCTGGATCCCGTTTCAGGGTCTAAATCACTCCCACAAGCATTTGTTTGAAAAGAGAAGGTGAAGAAGCAGCGCACGCTGTTGTGCTTGGGGGATCCCACTAGTCCCAGGTATCATTTTAAACCCAAACACTTTTTTTTTTTTTTTTTAATCATGTTTCCCCTCTTGTCACCAGGGACCCAGGTGTCGCCTGCTGTGTCACTCACTCCTCACATACATGTTCAGCCTCACTGGTGGTGTGCTAGAGACTTCACAAGTGTCACCTAGACTTGCACTACCCTTTCAATGACTGCTGCCATCCTGTCCCTCGAGAGCTTCCAGCTGAGCCAGGTGCTCATGGAGCTGCAGAGCATGAAGGGTGCCAGACTGTGGTGTGGAGTCCAGTAGGAACAGGGGTATATCCATCCGACTGGCACTTTGGGCTGGGTACAGGGACCAGTTTGGGTTTCCCTGGCGTGAGAAAGACATTGACATCCTGACGTGACTCTAGCAGAGGCCGTGAGGAGAGTCTGGGGAACACAGGATGGCAGCCAAGAGCACAGGGCCCAAGAACCGGTGGGGTCTCCATTCCTGGACCTGCTAGGCCTTCACCTGGCCAACCTTGGAGCAGAGGTTGGAGCGGAGATTCCCCAGAGGCCCCGTCCCACCCCAGCTATTCAGAGGGGAATTTGCTGCGTACTGCCACAGGGAAGCAAGACTCTTCTAACATCTCCCAGTGAAGGAAATTCACCTGTAAATGAAAAACAAGGGTGTTTCCTAAGCTGAGGTGTTAGTGTCACAGAGCACTTCCCTGCATCTTTGCACTGCACTTAGAGTAACTGGAAATCCTGACCTTTGAAAACTAGCAAACGGGGAACATTGCCAGGGTGATTCTGTCAGTTCCCAGTATGAATTAGGAAGTTGTTCTGTGGAAAATGGGAGTGTCATGTTTAAAATGGTGAGAAAATTGCCTCACTTCCCAACTACTGGGGTTCTTTGCACCAAACTGATTTATTTCCTTCGTTAACTAAGAAGTCTCTCTCAACTCTGTTTCCCTTTGTAGGCCATGAACCCGGACTTGTTCAGCTGGTGAATTACTACAGAGGAGCAGACAAGTTGTGCCGCAAAGCGTCTCTGGTGAAGTAAGAAAAATCCCTGCAATGTTGGGTGGGATTGGCAGGAATTTTTCTTCTAGCCATTGGCAAGTGCTGAACCTGTTCTGAGGGCGTTTTGCCAAGAACAGCTGGCAAAATGTGCCCTGGGATTGTGGTAGCTTGTGCTGTCTTCAGACTCCTGTGCTGGTCTCTACAGCTGCCTGCATGCACAAAGAGCTGTGGGTAGCTTCAGGGGACAAGCAATTTCTCCTGCATTACATCTGCTTGAAACCTTAGAGTGTATTCAGTCAGATAGGAGTAAAAGAAAGGGCCAAATCAAAAACAAAAAAGAAAAAAAAAAGAGTATCTGGTGTTTTTCCTTATAGAGAGATAAAATGTGAATTAAAGTCTGTTCCTTTTATTCTCTAATATCATACAGAGATGAGGCACTAATGTGCCTTTGGCTAATCAGATTTATCAGCCAAACAAATGCTCAGAGGTCTCTCCATTGGCATTGGGAGGGATTTCTGCAGGACCAGCCGTGCCAGGCTCTCCTGTGGAAGCGGGGCTGAGCTCACACTGCTGGTGGCCACAGCCCATGGGCCAGCTCTGCCTGGCTGTTAGGCCAACATTCAGAGAGACAGGGAGCTCCCTCGGCTCCGAAACAAAGGCAAGAAAACAGGTCTGGCCTCCAGCGAGGAGGGTTCACTGGCATCTCGAGGCAGAACTGTGAGAGGGAGCCGGGATTGCACGGTACAAGGGGAATCTGAGAAATCTCAGCACTTAAGATGTGTCCTTGCCTTCAGTAATTTCCCAGTGGTCTTGATCCACACTTGGGAAACCTCTCTTGGTTGCAATAGGGATGGGATCAAGAGCTAAGCAGCAGAACAGAGAATGTTACTGCTCTGGCTCCGCTTTTCCCTGCTGTGATTACAGCTCCCCTTGCGATATGTTGTTGCACTTTGCAGCATACCTCACCTTCACTTCCCATTTGGATGTGGAGCATTCCCAGTGACCTTGTGCAGGGATGATACAGGGAGGCCATCGCAAGCTCCAGTTCCCTGTAAGCATCTCTGCCAATTGCTTCCTGATATCCATCATACCCGAGAAACGTTCAACAGAAGAGTGCAGGTCTGGTTCAAAGCGCAGGGCTTGGCTGCAGCATGGGGATACTATGGTCTCTGTAGGAAAACCCTAATTTCAAGGGTCTAAGAAAAATATAATAAGTTATCACACACTCTGTGTTGTCTGCTCTTCATCACAAAGCAGAAGGGCCCAGTTAAGGAGCATTTGTACTTACTAAATCTCACCCTCCCGGTGGGAATGCACTGAAGCTTAACTGCCTGTCTCTCCTTACCCAGGCTAATCAAGACGAGTCCTGAACTATCCGAGTCCTGCACGTGGTTCCCTGAGTCATACGTGATTTACCCAACGAACCTGAAGACCCCTGTGGCTCCTGCAGAGAATGGGATTCGTCATCTCATAAACAACACCCGGACAGATGAGCGGGAAGTGTTCCTGGCCGCTTACAACAGGCGGCGGGACGGCGGGGAGGGCAACGTGTGGATCGCCAAGTCCTCAGCCGGTGCCAAAGGTTCGTACTGCAGCAAAACAAGGCACCTTCTTGTTTCCCTTTACTCTTTTACTCGACAGCTTTACTCTTTGGTCTGCATCTGAGGCTGATCTCAGCTGGGCAGAAATGCCACTGCTAGTTTCTCAGCAGACCCCAAATGTCTGGTACTCAGTGGCCTGGCTGTGATCATGCTGAGGGGTGGCCACGAACTCAGTGCATCCAAATTGCCTCCCAGCCTCTGGGGCAGGTATGAGAGCAAACACACGCAATGCCATATCTGTATTTCCCTTCAGGGAGGAGGAGACGATAGGTATCTGCATAGTCCTGTGTCCCTTCTTGTTCTAGGGTCATCACACTGCTTGTTGCACAGAAATATTGAGCTATAGCTGGACACAGCTATCGATGTAATACTGCAGAAACTGTTAACGTCTCTTGGCTATTGTCAGGATTGCTGCATAAAGCTTCTCTTGCTGTGTGTGTAGACCCCACAGAGCAGAGCCAAGCCTGAATAATGACCTTGTCTTTTCAAAGGGAACGAGCCTACGAGTGCTATGCATATTTGCAGTCGCTTTTGATGAAATCTTACAGAAATCAACGGGGAATGTGAAAGCCAGAGAGGGCTTTGAGGAGGCTGGATGTTATAACTGTCCTTCTTGCAGGGTTCTCTGCTCTCTTGGCTCTGCTACGCAGAAGCATCAGAAGAGCATGTTTATCTTCATCAAGGAGGCAGAAGAGATGAGTCTTTTCATCACTCCACTGAGGGAGAACGAGTCTGTATAGTTTAGTTCTCTGGTAAGGAACCAGTCTGAACAATTGAAAAGGCCATTGCTGTTGTTCACTGCAGCAGGAAGAGGTTTAAACTCTCCACAGACATTAATCAAGTGTGATGCCATCCTCTTCTTTTTTTTTTCTTTGTAAGTAACCCTTTGTATTCATCAATGCGCTGCAGAACCCAAGCTGGGAATTAAACTGGAAAGCAGAGCCTTATCCTAATCTTCTAGATGGCACCTTTAAACATCTGAGGATTACTTCCAACAATGAAGAAAGCTTGTTGCCATTAACTGCCCAGGCAAATCTGGCTCAGACAGCTCCTGGCTCAGGACAGTTCTAGTGAAGCTTAAAAAAAGTAAAAGGGAAAATAAAGGTTTTGCATGTCCTGACTTAAGAGTTGGGAAATTTTCAACTAGCGTTAGAGGTTTTTGAGAAGAGAGACAGTGGCTCCACATAAGCTACTTTGTTGCCTCTCTGGGCTGCTGGATAGGTACACAGTTAAGTTAACCTCCCTCCTCAATTCACCATCTTTCAAGGGCCAGACTGATGCCTGCTGATTTTCCATTGCAAATTTTGCAGGTCATACTCGTTTAAAAATATGTCACTTCCCTACTTTTCCCAGTGTCTAGACTTGTGGTTGTACCAATACAAGCATTTGCTTGGCCCTGCAGCCCTCCGTGGCCCTGTGATCAGGGGATTAAAACATTTTTCCAAAGAATGATTGAAAAACAAAACAAAACTTGCTAGCACATATGCAAAGCACAGAGCAGCAAATGCAGAAAGTCACTGTGGGACTGTCTCAGCAGTGACCTTTGGAAGCCCCAGCTAGGAGATGTGACTCCAATGGGATACGCCTGTGAAAACCTACCTACATGTGCTTCAAACCAGTGCTGTCTCACTGGAGCCTCTTTGAAGAGCGTTTGTCTCTTTTTGCTTAACTTTTCCTCCAGAAAATGAAGGACTGAACAATTTAACCTAAGCTGCTTCATACCTACTGTGGCACCATGCCATCCCTTTATCAGTTCACAGAAGGGATCTCCTCTGTTTTTATTGCTTTGCAAGAGTGGTTTCATATTTGGACTTTGCGAGAAATGAACAATGACAGTTTCAACCAAAAGCTGACAGCATTTGAAGGATGGGTCTAACTTCTTTATTGAAAACACAGATAGCACAGATAAGTGTTTTGAAAAAGTCCTTTGCCTAATTCAGCGATCATTTTAACAGTAACTTTAGTGGACTTAGCAGGGGAACAGTTTGCACATGTGTATGTGTGACTATGTGTCAGAGAAAGATGCGAGACAGCTCAGGGGAGGAGAAAGTCTGAATTGAGAATCAAATCCCCTGCCTCAAACAAACAAAATAGAGAAAAACCCCACAAACAAATTTCTAAAAATCTCGCCCCCCAAACTGGGGACAGCGAAACATGGTCTGTTTCAGCCTTGAAAAAGCTACACAAAAAAAGCAACAAAGGTAGGAGGATCCTCTGCCTATTTTTTCTTTGCCTTTCTGTGCCAGGGGAAGGGATCCTGATTTCTTCAGAAGCTGCAGAACTCCTGGACTTCATAGATGAGCAGGGACAAGTGCATGTGATTCAAAAATACCTAGAGAAGCCTCTGCTTTTGGAGCCAGGGCATCGCAAGTTTGACATCAGGTAGGCTTTTCTGCATGGCTTGTGTGACATGGGTTTGCCTTTCTGTGTAGTGTCTTTTTAAGCCACTGAGGCTTGGGCTTGTTCTTCTGCCCCCAGGAGCTGGGTTCTCGTGGATCATCAATATAATATCTACCTCTACAGAGAGGGTGTCCTGCGGACCTCTTCCGAACCATATAACAGTGCTAATTTCCGGGACAAAACCTGCCACTTGACCAATCACTGCATTCAAAAGGAATATTCCAAAAACTACGGGCGGTATGAGGAAGGGAATGAAATGTTCTTCGAGGAGTTCAACCAGTACCTGATGGATGCCCTGAATACCACACTTGAGAATAGCATCTTACTGCAAATCAAACACATAATAAGGTAACCAGCTGCCTTGTGGGTATGGCAAGATAACCCCTTAGTAGCGAGCAATGTATGGAAACAGCTGAGTTAACAGGTAGGCAGACAAAAGAAGTGTTTCAGTTGCAAGGGCCAGGGATTGTGAGCCAGAGAGAGATTTAAGATAAGGCCATAAACACCCCACTGTCATTGCTCAATGGAAAGAGAGAAAAGGGGCTCTAGAGGTGCTGTGAAGGCTAATGACAAGATGTCTCTGTTTTGCCACAAGTCAATTCACTTGGTGAGGGAGAGGGGATTTATCATCTGGGACAAGAAACCAGCCACCACTGAGAAACCAGGTCATGACAATGTGATCCTCCGTAGCAGGATTTGCTCTGCAAAAGCTCCACCGCTGTGCACAGTGCACAGTGCACCCTCGGAGGCTGCAGTGCAACTGATACATTTGGAGGATTTTTAATCCTGGGTTTCCTTTTCTCCCTTCACAGAAGCTGCCTTATGTGTATAGAGCCTGCAATCAGCACAAAGCATCTTCACTACCAGAGCTTCCAGCTCTTTGGCTTTGACTTCATGGTTGATGAGGAGCTGAAAGTCTGGCTGATAGAGGTCAATGGGGCTCCGGCTTGTGCCCAGTGAGTAATCAGTTTCTGTAATACACCTGCAGTAGGACCATACTGTATCACCCAGCTCACCAAAAACTGTATCACCTGGGTAGAAAAGGGCAGAAAAAAAGTGAATGGCAGGGGGGTTTCCAGGTTAACCCATTCCAGAAATGGCTCTAAGTGCCAGTCAATATAGATTTGTTGTCCTTGCCTCTGTGCCTGGTATACAGCTTCTTTCTAATATGAGATGAGCCCTGGTCTTCACCTGAATATTAGATAAATCAATAGCATTAAATGCACTTGTGAAAGCCAGAGAATAAATCTGTAGAGATGAGGACTCCAGGTACTCTGTGGAGCTGCAGATGTTGGATCGAAGCCTCCACCAGCAACGGGGAGGTTGTGACAACCAACCATGGCCATGAACATACCTAGACTTACCCAGCAGGAGCTGGTACACCGTGATTGAGACAACTGCAGAAGAGAAGGACACTAGAAGTCTTTGCTAAATGAGCATCTGTACTGTGTACAAGCCCATCGAAAGCTGTACGTGGTCTGATATGTCTCACTGCTCATACACCTGCAGGTGATGGTCGCTTCAGTGGGAGATACTGGATCTTGGCAGATAATTCTTTTCTCTCCTTTCCTCTCCATCTTTCTTCCTTTCCTTTTGTTCCCCCACCCTCTTGCTTCATTATTCTCTCTTTTCCTCCCCTACTCTCTCTCTTATCTCCTTCTTGAGGGGTCACCTTGTATAGTGTTAACACTGTGTTACCTATAGGTCATTCTCTTTGGCTTCCATACGCATATAGATAATGCATGCTTATAACTGGGGTGTTAGCATCAGCACCCAGTTAAAGGCACTTTGGAAAGCTGAGGCTGAGGAAAACGTGGTCCAAATTCTTGGGTGGTTTTCCTAGCGGTCAGGCTCAAGCAGCTGGTGATCATCCAGCACCCCTCAGAAATCTGTCAAGATCTAGTTAGCATCAACAGCCTGCAGCTGCACATGGACTGGATCAAAAAGGATGGGGAGACTCACCCTGCTATGCCAAATCGTTGCAGACTTTGAAATACTTCTTGAATTTTATTAAAGATTGTTGCAGGGGCTGTTGCTATGTGTATTTTGATTGCAGAAATGCATGTTTGCTTTTTGCTACATGGGCACTTGAAAGTAATTGAATTGAACTGATCCAGGCCTGCACTATCTGCAGCGCCATCTCTTGCAACTATCCTAATTTATAACACTGATATCACACAGTACTCAAAATGGAGAAAAAGAATGGCTGTTGAAAGCAGAAGGAAGTCAAAAAAACCTCCCACTGTCAGGTGCACAAGGTGAAAAACATTGTTAATCCTAGTAAGAGCAACTTTGGTACTAAAAGTATACCAGATGCTAGCATTTCAGGGAGATTGCACAAGTATTTCCTTCAACAGAAAACAAAGCTGCTGTTAACTCATTTCTCAAACACCTTGTCTGGCCTCTTTCTTTTCATCCACATTGCCGTGATGAAACACACCCAACTCTTTCCTAAGGGCCCGGCAAAGTCTCTGTGCCTGGCCCACAAGCTAATGAGTGCAGTTACATGACAGTGTACCGTTTTTTCAGACCATGCTTGCTTAGAACAGCCCATCTGGGTGGTGTCCCCACATGTATGGGGTCTGGCATGATGCTCCTGAGTCCCTCAGGTGGGAGACTGGTCAGAGGGGCTACCCACCTCATGCCATGCATCCCATAGTGGTTCAAGGATGAGGCCTAGGGGTGCTAAATACTCTTCTTAGGAGCTTGTTCTGACAGTAAACTTGGGTTTTGTGATCCCACCTGGCAGCAAGCAATGTTGGGAATGGGAGACTGTTGAAAAAAAGAAGGCAGTTCCTGGGGTGGAAGGAGAGGAAACCGAAGAGATGAAAGATTTCTCTATGGCTCCCACTGGGAAAATGCTGGGTGAAAAAAAAAAGAAGTTGGGGTCCTGCTGGTTTACACTGCTTGGGCATCTTACTGTCTTTCTCTCTTGTCTCTTAGGAAGCTGTATGCAGAGCTGTGCCAAGGAATCGTGGATGTAGCCATCTCTAGTGTTTTTCCCCTCAGTGACACCGGGCAGAAGATGAGCCAGCCATCAATCTTTATCAAGCTGTGATGAAGACAGGAGCATCTCTGCTGAGTACAGAGAATCATAGAATCATTATGGTTGGAAAAGACCTTCAAGATCATAGAGTCCAACTGCAGAGAGACTGCACCCACTGGGTCAGAGCAGTTCGATGGCTTATTTCAGTATCATGCCAAAAAGGGATAGAGACAGGTGGCTTTTTCTTTTTTTTTTTTTTGAAAATCATGGGGAAAACCAACAAGACAGAGCTCCCGTGACATGACGAGCCAAAACTGCTCAGGCAAATCTGTCTGCATTCACCAAAATTCACTTTAGAAGCAGCTCATGTGACTTCAACATCTGAAACAAATCTCTCTGGGAGAACAGCAAAATTACCTTAAAATGAAACCCCAACAGGGAAACAACAATACTCTAATTAGCGCATCCTTTTCTATAGAGAAACATTGTGTTTTGTTTTGTTTTGTTTTGTTTTTTTAAGGCAATTGAACAAAGAGTACAACGATCATCTGGGATGCTGTGGCTGGGAAGTTGTTCTCCTCCCACGTGTTTCTTCTTTCCTCACCTACTGCATCCTTAGTGCCTTAGCTCAGCTCCAAATAGGTGACTCCTTTCCTTTGTTCCTGCTCTATTTTGTGGACAGGAACAAGCTCTCTTGTGTCACAGGATTCATGAAACCAGAACATTGAGAATTTGGTCTCCGTAGGTCATTTTCCAAGCTGGCTGGCTGAACACCCAGGCAACGACGGGTTGAAAGGGTGCTGAACTGTGGATGGTGAGCTAATCCGGACAAGGAAGGCAACTTTGTTTATTTATAGTTATTGTTTATTTATAGTTATTGTTTATTTATAGTTATCCCTTTTCCTAATAAGATTTGAATCTGTTTCCATCCAAGTCTAATGCAGTTGGATCCCATATGAAAAAAGTAGCCTGTCCCCCTCAGTGCTGACCTGCAAGCTGTAGGATTTCTGGCATCGCTGTCTTGCTGGGAGTATTTCAACCGAAAATGGTCTCAGAAAGTTTATTCGGAGACACTACAGTGAATATAAGCTCTTCTCTCAGCTTCCACCTTAATACATTTGAGACTGAACTATATGCCTTCAAACCCAACCATTTTTTATTCCTTTTGATCCAGTCCATTTCACTTTCCTCTGTTCAACAAATACTGTGCTTTTCCACCCTGGACAGGGTGTGCTGCTCTGTCCCACCTGAGGGCAAGATGTGTAAGGTCTTATAGACCAAGAGACTCCTTTCGTACAGGTCTGCCACACAGCTGGGACAGGAAGGCAGTTTTTTGGGAGGAAGGGGGTAGAATTCCTTAAGATCCCTGAATTTCAGAACTCATATCTGTTTTGAGTGTATCCTAAATTCCTGGCATTTTCGTTTTACCTTTAGCCTAAGCCCAGGGAGCGCGTCCCTCCTACGTCAGGGCTCTCTGCAGAGTGCAGTGGCTGCGTAGGAGCTGCTGGCTTTGCTGGGCGCTCCGTGGCCTGCGCTCTGTCCCAAATTTTCCAAACCGAGGCACAAAGTTAAACAGTTCAGTCTTGGGAGGCCGCAGCAAGCTCTGCAAAGAACTGAGCGCTCACAGGCATTAAAATTTGGGTTGTACATCAGCGATACCAAGTTTGGGGTTTCTTTACACGCTTTGCATGAGATGTGAGGATGTACCTTCGCTCTGAGGTAGCATGTTTTTAAATATAGTGATGCACAGATTATAAATAAGCCCCTGTGCGAGCAACGCGGAGCTGCTGCCCAACGTGGTGGGAAAGAGATGGTAGTCGATGGAACTTCCCTCCAGCACTGCATAGGAAAGCATCATGGAAAAATGCAGCTTGGTGTATTTTAATTGACTGCAGCAGGAGAGCAGGCTGTGCTGCTGAGGTCGGGCCTCTGGCAAGGAGAGATGATTGGCAATGAAATAAACCAGACCTGGTTCCTGTCACCCAGAGCAAACAAGCAAGAAGAATTTGTGGAGGTTACAAGCTCCTGCCTGCCTGTGTTTAATGGGAATCAAGCAAGTGTGATATCTCCCTCCCTGAAATGATCCCAGATCTTTGCTCATACTCATCTATGCTCGTGGCTGAGATTTCACAGCTCTTCCTGCCAGTGCAGAGCTCTGTACGCAAGCGGCCCTGCTCTGTAAGCAGGATGGAAGCGCCCACCTCTCCTCGGAGTGATGGATTTTTGTGCTGTAGCTGGACAGACTTTCGTTGCAACGTGCTATGAACCCTTAGCTACGAACCCGTAAGAAGAAGCGCTGCAGAGCAGAAGCGTCCCACAAGGCCAGACAAGTGCTCCAAGCGCTGCATGGACTGGAGCCTTCGTGGTGCATGGCAGACACGAGGTGCACTGGAGCTGGAAAGCAGTTCAGTTGCTGCGTGCTGGGGATTTTCTTGCCAGCAACACCCCAAATGCCAGGTCCGGTTTCTGGCTTTGCTGGACCTTCTGTGTTTTCAGAGCAAGGACTGTGAACTCTTCAGTTTATGAGCTGGAATGTAGTGGGGAGATGGTGGACAATAAGCGAGGAGAAGAGGGGTACGAGGGAAGGCCTCATAGAAGCTCACAGGTGTTAAAATTACCCTGCAGACCAGATGAAGCCTAGTGTTAACAACCCCAGGTAAAACGTAGGCTGTAAAAGGTGTTTAATGTGACTCGTAAAGCTCCCAGGTCTCCAAAGAAAGAAAGATTGTAAAGAAATGAAAAATCCTTAGGGTGCTAGACCCCTCTCTATTTTCCCTTTGCCATGAATTCAAAAACCAAAACATTCTTTCCTTGGCGTATATAATATGGGTGGGATTGGGCTAGGAAAGCAGCCTGGATACAGAGGAAAGCAGCATCTTTTACCAGCCCAGCAGATAGAGCCGGGAGGAGCAGTGACTGAGGAACCTCTGCACAGCCCCAAGGCCTTTTTTCCTCCTTTTTCACCTCAGGGTGCACTAAGATACTTCCCCAAACAGTGTATTTGTGCTGCTCAACTGCCTCAGTTTAGCAGTTATCTCCCATTACTCCCATTACTCCGTCCAAAGAGGATTTCAAACCCAGATGCTCCAGTTGTGTTTTCCAGCAGGGTCTGGTCCAGCTGGAGCCTGGGTCACACTTAATTCCCATACAGCTTCCCCCATCCCAGCTTAACTATGATTCCCAAAATCCCATGGCCAGCTGCAGCCTGCAGACAACCCCAGGGCTGTCTGGAAAGCTGGGAAGCAGCTTGGCCCAAGCAGCCCACATCCCATTCTATACTATAATCAAAACCTTTGGAACTGCTTGCATGCCCTGGTCCAAACATTTCTTGTTCTTTGAGGGCTGCTCTCCGCCAGGAAAGCGGCGCTGTGCTGTAAGTTTAAAGTTAATAACTGTGTGTCGTTATCAGTTTTGGCTACAATAGTCCGTGGAAAACAACGGCCTTGGGAGGGTTGGAGGCCGAATCTGGGGTGGATGCGCAGAGCTGCTGGTGCCCGGGCTCCGCTCTGTGTTTTCCAAGTGCGGCTGGTCCTCGGGCATCTGTATTCCAATCTGTCCTCGACCACCATTAAAAAAAAAAAGAGCAAATCTCAGAGACTGCATTGCTGGGAGCCCGGGGCTGGCAGGTGAGCCGGGAAGGCTCCACGTGTCCTGCGCCCAGTGGTGGGAGCGCTGGGGTACACGGGAGGGACGCGGCTTGGGGAGGGCAACCCAGGGGACGTTGGCACCTCGTGACATGGCGGGGCACGGACATGGCCCTGCGGGAAACAGCCTGGAAGCGTCATGAGCTGAGGGGGACACGGCTGGGTGACGCCGCTCCGGTAGACACGGTCCTGGGGGAACCGGCCTGCAGGTGTCATGGCCTGGGGAGGACGCGGCTGGCGGGGGGCAGCTGCAGCAGACACGGCGCTGGGGGAACACGGCCTGAGATGGACATGGCTGGGGGACACAGTTCCGACAGACGTGGCCCTTGGGGACATGGCCCGGGGGTGGCAGGGCCGGGGAGGACACGGCACCGAGGGACATA